CCCCCCGCCCCCACGCCCCCCGGCTGCCTCTGGGACCCTGTGCTGGTCGGAGTCCCTGTTGTAAGAGAGTAGGAAACAGCTGAGAAGCCCCTGGTCCCTTCACTGTACAAACCCAGTAAATGAACTGAGCTCGGCCACCCCACCCCGCAGCCTTTAAAGGGCCAGAGCAGCTGTGCTGAGCTGCGATGTGCTCTGGAGCCAGGGAGGGGAGGAGAGGGGAGGGCAGCTCCCTGTTCTGCAGCCCACGGCTCATCGGCGGCGGAGTTTGCATCCGAGATAATTCTGGGACGAGGAGATGAGACCCGTGAGCTTAGATCACACGCTATCCCTCGGTCTGGTTCCCACACGCTGAGGCACCGGGGAGGGCCACCCCCTGCCCAGCAGGGCTCCGTTTTAACCAGCCACCCGAGGACAAGCGCCGCGGTCTTGCTGGCGAGCTCCCAGAACTCCGCGGAGACGCCACGGAGCGGGATCGCAGGGCCGCGGGGCCTCCGGGGAGCTCGCTTCCGGCCTCCAGAGCCTGGCTTCCATGTCATCAGCATGTTTATTTTTGTGAATGACTGCGGGCCGGCTGGGCTGCGTTCTGAAACACGGAGGTCCTAGGGACTCTGCCGGCCGGCCTAGACCTCACACAGGAGGGGCCCAGGGCCAGGGGGCCAGTGAGGGGAAGGTTTTCCTGGCGGGGTGGCTGCGGGGGACATTGACAGGCTGTTTTCCCACGACTGCCGCCTCCCACAGCCCTGGGGAGGAGCCTAGGGTGAGGTACCCCCACGTGGAAAATCCGGGTGCGCACTGACGCGTGGACACGGATGTGGCGGGAAGCAGGGCGTGGGGCCCAAGGTGCGGGCTCCCCACCGCGGACCCTGCCCTCGGAGGAGGCGGCCGGCGTAGGGTGTCTGACTCCAGAGCAGGAGCGTGTGGCACTGACATCGCCTGGGGACGGGGACGCTCGCTCGCTGGCCTGTGGGCTCTGCCCTGAGCCGGGGGCCCCTGCGGTGACGAGCGTGGATCTGGGAGCAAGGCCGCCTGGCGTCCAATCCCCAGTTTGCTACTCGTTAGCCTGAGGCCTTGGCACATTCAACACCCCCTGCCTCAGTTTCCCCACAGTGAAGTGCACGTGGAAAACGAATCCTTTGAACTGAATTATTTTTTGGAAGCGGGTCCTTATTCAGTTTTCTCTCCCAGACGGAGTTAAGCAGGCTGCTGCGTGCGAAGCTGTGGTCAGAAAACGGCGGCCGGACCCAAGCCTCTTCCTGAGGCCCTCGCCCGCGCCCTCCTGAGTGCTCTTCTCATGTCTCAGGCTGCTCCTGGCGACCTACGCTTCCCTCATTTGAATGAAAACTCAACTCTGTGAGCTCTTTTTTAGAAATTGATTTTTCGAGAGAGACATCGCTTTGCTGTTCCCTTATCGATGCACTCATTGGTTGATTCTTGTCTGTGCCGCGACCAGGGATCAAACCCGCAACCGGTGCATTGGGATGACGCTCTAACCGACTGAGCCACAGGCCAGGGCTGTGAGGCCTTAGTCTGGGTTAGGTGATGAGAACGCGCTGTTGTCTAGAAGGCTTGGGAGCCCAGCCCACGTGGCTCAGTGGTTGAGCATCGACCTA